CGCACCCACTCATGCTACAACCATAATATAGCACGTATAAAATAACTTTGTCCATACCTTATCTGCGTATACTAAGCATACATGTGAGCATTCAATTTCGATCAAAATAAAAATCTATACGTCAAGTCCACAAGAATATTAAATGGAAAGATATCCTTTTAGGACATTTGGCCAAAGGCTCAATTTAAATAACCCTTGCCTCATATAGTGTGCGTCTATCTGCAATTTCCGCTATTTAAATGACTCCCCTGATTCTGAACTTATCCATGAAAATATCTCAGGAAAACCCGACGTTTTACTCTTGTAGCTTTCTATTTATCTACCCCAATAATAATAATGTTTTGTAATGTTAATATTTTAAGCTCGACTAAGCGCTACTTGCGATATAAAAATATTACGGTTTTATATAAAAATGTATAAATAATGACTAAAAACTTTTATATTAAACTAGCGGTCGCCCGCGGCTCCGCCCGCGTGGATGTCGGTTACCGCTGCAAAAAGCCTACCCAGGAAAGACACGGTCAGCAAACAAAATGATTCCCAGGTCAATTCACAGACACCGACACTAACATCGACGAAGCAGTCACTATCCGCAGGCTGAACAGATTTTCTTTCTGTGGATGTTAGTTGTTAAGTCCCGGAGTGCAACCCGTTGTTTTAGGATAGAAAACTTAAGCTATTATTGTAGAGCTTCTCTATACACAACATTTGACGTTTATATTATTTTCTGGTAACAAAATATACTGATGGTCGGGAGCCCCGACCCGTGATAGGGCAACGTAAAGTTGCCCATGCGTAAAACATTCTTTTCGTAAATCAATTCCTACTAATTTGAATGTTTGGCCCTGGGATTTGTTTATCGTGAGTGCGAAAGAAATTTTTACTGGAAATTGGAGCCTTTTGAAGGGTATAGGCAAATCAGTAGGGATCATGGGTATTCTTGGTATATGAGCTAATTCACCAGCTGCAGGGCAGGTGATAATCTTCGCAACTATTAAATTATCTTTTAGCTCCTTTATAAGTAGTCTCGTGCCATTACACATGTTGGGGGGTCTTAAATTTCTGAGAAGCATTATCGGTGTGCCAACTTTTAACGACAGTTTATGAGGTGGAAGCCCAGCGGGGTTCAGAGAATTTAAAAACTCCTGGGGGTAGTGCACTGCGTCCTCGATGTTAGTGACGGTGTCTATGGATTTATAGCACTTAACTTCACCCGGTAATTTCTGCATAATTAAATTGTTTATTTCGTTGACTGTTTCATTCCTATGAGAAACTATTGCTCTACAACACAGCCAACGAAAATCATTTTGATGTAAGTTTTCGATGTCAGGATATATAGCATCTATCAGACTATCTAAATTATAGACTATTTGCCCTAGAGACTCATCCAAAGTAACCGCATAATCGGTGCCCAAATTTAAAGATGGAAAAATTCCTTCTCCCAGTTTCAGCAGCTGTTGTGGAAAATTGCTATGCGTATTTCCATGTAGATGAGCTCTCATATTAGTACGCAAATTCAAATGTTGAACAGATGTCCAAAGGTGAGACGATTTTAAACATGCCTTCATAATATCTGCTCGCGTACCTCTGTTGACGACAGGAAGCGTTTGTCGGAAATCTCCAGCAAATACAAAAGTGATACCACCCATGACATTAGCAGAGCTTCGGAGGTCTTTTAAAGTACGGTCCACGGCCTCCACATGAGCTCTATGACTCATGGTGCATTCATCCCATATTACCAACGACGCGTCTTGCAGCAACTTACCAAGAGGCCCATTTTTCCGAATAGAGCACGTAGACCGTTGATCTAAAGATACGGATAGCGGGAGTTTAAACGTAGAGTGAGCAGTTTTTCCTTCGTTCAAGAGAGTTGCAGCAATTCCTGACGAAGCAACTGCAATCGCTATCTTCCCTGATTGCCGTATCTTAGCAAGTATCAAATTTGCGAGAAAAGTCTTTCCGGTGCCTCCTGGTGCGTTCAAAAAAAATAATCTCCCCATGTTCATAAGCATGTCTTTGATCTGGTACTAATTTTGGCACATTGTCATTAACAAACGCTGTTAGATCATTGCTGTTATACTGTTGTACCATTGTTTCAATAGTATTATTCTGGGTACGAACGGGAGGAGGTAATCCAAAATCACTTAAATTTTTGTCGTTTAGTTCTAGAAGTTTGTTTTCTATTTCAATTAATACTTCATTATAAATGACTTCAGTGAAGGGTTAAGTGTTATCCTGATTTTGTTGTCTGATACGATGTCTAATATCTTCACAGAACTGATCTTTGAAAGTATCCCATAACTTCAATGGTTCCGATGGTTGACAAAATAAAAGTATGACTACGAACAACTCCCTTAGTTTTTTTGGACAATGTGATAACGAAGCTTCGCTTAAAGTGTTACCCCAATGATCATCGTTTTCAAGTAAACCTCGGTAACGGCAAGCTGCTTGATACGCCTCTTTGACAATACCGTTTACAGTTTTAAGGTATGCAAATGAGGTCGGACCGCGTACGTGGTGCAGTAGAATCCTAAGATAAAAACACTCTGATTGGGATGGATGTATCCCGTAGACTCCACCTAAAGCGGTATCTTTTTTTATCCCCGGTTTAAATGTCCAACTACATCTTCACCACGCCTCCTTCTAGTGAATGTATTATTTGCCCATGTATAGTATTGCGGGACTTCATGATACAGAAGAGTTTTCGCGAATTCATCTTCATTACAGAGAGCAAAAAATGCCAGTAATGTGGTATTGCGTGGGTTTTGGACAACTTGATGAGCTGTCCCTGGTGTAAAATACACCCTTTGACCGTTCTCTAGATAAACGGCCAAATGCACTACAGTAAGATGCCGCTCGTGAATGGGAAATTCAAATAAGCGCCAGACAGCTTCAGATGTGCTTATGTACCTGCCATTTAAATAGTTTTCGACCTCATCGTGTAGTTTCTAAGGCTAAAAGTTGCCTGATCTGAACCTTTATTTATATACTTACATATATATTTAATGGCTTGGACAGAGTGGCAATACTCCACGTTTATATGAGCGTTAAAAGTCTTACATAGTAGCGGGGGAGTATGGAACAATCCACCTATTATCTATCGTCACCATATTACCCCTGATTTGTAGCGTATTGCTCCGACCGCTATTTCCTGTATCGCGCCTACGATAAACTGGATACCCATCCTCTCCGGTCTGGGTATCGTTCATGAAACGGCGAGGGTATTTTTTTGTGCAGACACCGTTCTTCATGCATGGTGCAGCTAAATTATGTTCTCCGCAGGGTCCATGTACCATATTTTTAGTTATAATGTCGTGTAGTACCGAATCAATTTGTTGATCGGGTAGCTCCGCAACTATGACACTGTCGATCTCATCTGGTTGTATTTTAGTTTCTAGCCAGAACAGCAAATGACAATGAGGTAAACCGCGCTTTTGCCACTCCACACTTGCCATATAACATTTTACTTTACCGAATATCTGTTCTTTGACAAATAATTTGATGAATTTCTTTATCTTTAAATGAAATACACGTGAAATTATGTCATGACGGTCGAAAGACCGTTGTCCTGGTAGCAGCTCGGCTTTTATTTCAGGCCATTCGGGGTTACATGTAAAAGTGACAAATAAGTCAGGTCTACCATAATTTCGAACGTACGTCATCGCGTCCTGCGTTTTCTCGTGCATGAAACACAGAGAACCCGTAAATGACGATGGCAATATGACATGTTGACCGATATTTGATGGGTCAACATTTGCGTCATGATTTAAAGCATCTCTGAGATGAATGTATACATCAGCCCTCAGTCTTTGTTGATTCCGACAAATATAATTTAATCTTTCCGATATCATTTTCGCCATCATGTCAACACAATATTGACTAAATAAGTCTCTGTAATAATGTAACAGATTATAAGAGTGAGTTCTAATAATTAATCTAAATGCATAAAATTGCATACACGAAACAGTTTTATAACGCGCAGAACCCTGCTGAGGGATAGTCAAATAATAACCGTCTTCTCCTGTCACAAACATTATAGGATACTGTAGTGGATCATAGGACCGATGTAGCTCAGAAACTCTTTTGTGCTGCCCGTCTCTACCGTGTAAGACTATATCCCTGGGACCTTTGTCTTCATCGACCAAGAGAACAGCTACCTCGTTTACAGTAGGAGCATTATATCTGCCTCTGTGTGCTATCTGTGGAGTGCAATCTGAATGAATAATTAACTTTAAATTATCTGAGGAGTTAAGTTCTAAGTTTTGTTTAAAACTTCGTATGTACACGTTATGATTATTTAAAGCGGTCTGTAATTCGTGAATTAAATCCATTTTTACGGTTGGTGCGATGCTTGATCGCAACAATAACTGGTCTGCATCCGAAATAAAATACATTTGCAAGAACTGTGGGTTTTGGCCTGATGGTGGTAAAAGGCTACCAATTAGATGATACACTTGTCCTTCAATTTTAAAAGTGGGCCATAAAATTTCCTTCCCTGATTTCTTTTGCGCCAAACGAAGTCATTTGAAAAAGACTATTGTATTTACGTATGTTTGTTAAAAAATGCCCAGAAATTGATGGTTATTAGTCAAAAGATTTTTTTAGGAAGAAAAACTTTACCTGAAGCACAGCAAATACCATTAGATTCGTCCGCCCATTTCTTGGCAGAGCAGATCTTATTCATGACTCCGATTTGGACGGACGCTTGTTGTGCATAATCAAACTACGGATCATATCTGAAAGCCAGTCTGTTGCTGTTAGCTAAAATTCGATTGCGAACTCTATTTGTGGACAACTGCTGTCTCTCTGCCTGAGCTCTAAGTTGCTGCAAACGCTCGACAATCGACTCTCTTTTGCGCAACTGAGAGGTTCTTATATTTTGTTCATGAAGACGTTGGGAACGCTCCAGGCTCGACTCTTGAGCGCGTAGCTCAGAGGTTCTCAAGCTTTGTACGGCAAGGCGTTGCGAACGCTCGACACTCGACTCTCGTTCGCGTAAGTCAGAGGTCCCTTACATTTTGTTCATGAAGACGTTGGGAACGCTCCAGCCTCGACTCTTGAGCGCGTAGCTCAGAGGTTCTCAAGCTTTGTACGGCAAGGCGTTGCGAACGCTCGACACTCGACAATCGTTCGTGTAAGTCAGAGGTCCTTACATTTTGTTCATGAAGACGTTGGGAACGCTTCAGCCTCGACTCTCGTGCACGTAACTCAGAGGTTCTCAGTTTTTGTTTTGCAAGGCGTTGTGAATGTTCGACACTCGACTCTCGTGCGCATACCTGAGAGTTTCTCTGATTTTGTTCAGCAAGGCGTTGTGAATGTTCAGGTGAAGATTCTCCCATATGAGGTATTTTTGCTGCCCGTGCTTGAGAACTATGTTTAGAAAGTTGAGACCTGGCTCTCTTAGGCTTTTTCAAATGTTTAAGATAATGTTATTAGCGTGTAATACTCTAGCTCTAAAAAGAACTGTTGTTTAGCCCTGAAAAGAACTGTTGTTAAGCCCTGAAAAGAACTGTTGGTTAGCTCTAAAAATAACTGTTGTTTAGCTCTAAGAAGAACTGTTGTTTAGCTTTAAGAATAACTGTTGTTTAGCTCTAAGAATAACTGTTGTTTAGCTCTGAGAAGAACTTTTGCGTAGGTGTAGTTTAAAGAACGAAACCTAAAAAAAATCGCACGAAAATTATTAGACTTCACGCACGACCGCTGCATAGAGAGCCTTACTCCTTACCTGGGTACCTTACTCATAGATCTAAACTCCCCTCCCACACGCTCACCGGGCCTTGGTAACGCCTACTTCGCAACGGGCCGTGCAGCAGAAATCGTAATATTTTAATTTCGCTATAACTTCAGAACGAAACGTTCAATTTTAATCATTCAAAGACCAAATATTATCTATATTAACTGTACTTAGTGATAGATATTTATAAGATCTACAATTACTTAGAACATTTTATGGTTCTATCTTTAATAGTTTAGGCAGGGTACGCAAAAAAAGTAACTTTTTTGGTTGATTTTTTACACCTTGTGTCCGAAAAACCCTAATATCTTACGGAACCCTATTTTTGTTCAAAATTAAATATAGCCTATATTACTCGTGGATAATGTAGCTTTCGAATGGTGAAAGAATTTTTAAAATCGGTCCAGTAGTTTATGAGCCTATTCATTACAATCAAACAAACAAACAAACAAAGTTTTCCTCTTTATAATATTAGTGTAGAAGTGTAGATAACGTTTGATTTGAGCATAATATTTACTACTGTTGAGTAATTATTGGAGTTTGCAAATATTGTTTACCTTTTACCTACGAATTGCTTATTATTTTTGTTTTAACACAAAATAAATGCATTGTTGCCAGTGTATTTTTTTTTTAATTTGGATCATTTTTTTTTTACATATTTGAAATGATAAACGAACTTACAGTCCACCTGATGGTAAGTGGCTAATGCACCATCGACACCTGCAACCAACTTCAAACAAAGAAAGAAACTTTAAAAAAACACAGCTTACAATCATGTATCTATTTTACAAAATTAATCAACACAAAACAAATTAGAAATAGGTTGGTAGTGATCACCTCATATGGGGTATTATGATCGTCCATAAATTCCTTAAATTTATAATAATCCTTTTATACAAACTTAGTTTAATCAAGTTTTTGAACTTTTGATACACTTTCCTTAGAGTTGTACAAAAATATACAAAATATGACCTACTCGTCACATTTTGTATACTTTTGAACAACTCTAAGGAACAAGATGTAATACCTCACAGTCTGTAATTATTCTGGTTCTATCTATATTCTACAGACAGGCATACATCACGGCACACACTGCTGCTTACCGGCAGAAATAGGCAAGAGGGTGGCTCCTATCCAGACGTATTCCTAGTCATAACAGGAGTCATACCACGTAGTTACTTATTCAAAAGATTTGTACATACACCCGATTAATGTCGCTATGTAATCTATGATAATAAATGTCCGGTATGCCAACTATATACCCTTCTGATTGACGAACGAAGTTCTGGCGACCGACTATAATGGCGTAAAATCTTTTCGTAAACGTTTATTCCAAATTATAGGGATTGATGGAAGGATATCCTAATCTTAGGAGATGTTGGGTAAGCGGATTGGTCAGTGCAATTTTAAATCCTCCTGGTAATGGTCCTACCCATGGAATTTCAGATGGAGTTTACCTGACTTTAGTCAATGCATTATCTATTAATCAGCTGAGTACACCTGGATACAGGAGTAGTTTATATTTAAATGAAAGTTTGTTATATTTCCTTATATCAAAAAATATACTTTTTTTGGTTCTAAATATTTTAATTAAAAATTCAACTACGATAATCATTGTCTTCCAGGTTGATTTCATAAATATTTTTGTAAATATTTACTAAAAATATTCAGTCAATATGAGCATAAAATACGACAGATGAGAATTATGAAACAGAAATACTCCTTGCATATCTTTGTACAGTTAGTTTTCAAAGATCAAATATTTTCATTAAATATGTATCATGTTCAAAATTCTTCGACGTTTGTTCAGTAAATATCTTTATAAGTATAATTTATTAAAATATGCACAATAGTTTTAAAATATTATATGTTTTTCAGATTTTAAAACAAATTACTATAAAGTGCCTTCAATTTAGCTGCGAATTATCATGTGGTGGTTTTGCACATAAATCTTATTTTGCGTATGAACTATGCTTCATTAATGTACGAGCACTTAATTTTATTAAAAACCTATTCCGATTAAGTTTATATCGTAGGTTTTATGGTACATTTTAGTAGCTAAACCATAAAAAATTGTACATTTATTAATATTTATAATTCTAATCCCTTTATGCAAATCATCCCTGCCATGCATTAACCCTAACCTTTGTATATTGAATGAATAATCATTTGTAAGAGAATTTATTTGATGCGAAATTTGAAACACATTTACTTATGCAATACACATAAAATATTTACTTAATTTCTAACCTGACCAATGTTGCCTTTTATGGCCACATAATTGGAACATAAGAATTTCGGGAAGAGAACAATCGAAAGTATAAGGTATTAGTAAAATAAACTCATAGCAGTTAACGATTTCCCAATTAGTGTTGTAACCCTACGATTTGTTTATCATACTATCAAACGATTCACTGAAGATTCAAGCTTCAAAGATCGTAAGAGAAGCGGTCGACCTCATACAGATAGGACACCCGCGATCATCAAAGCAGTGAAGGCGCGAATCCAACAAAATCCTGATCGTAAACAAAAAATCTTAGCTCTTTACATAGGCCTAAACAGAACCACGGTCAAAATTGTGATTAATGAAGACCTAGGACTACGAGCTTATCGTAAAAAGACCGGACATTTTTTGAACGAGCGTTTGAAAAAAATTAGGCTGGATAGATCCCGCGCTTTATTACGGCGGTACGTGAGAAAAAAATTTTGCTTTCGGATGAAAATTTTTTAACATCGAAGAAAGTTACAATAAACAAAATGATAAGGTGTATGCCAACAGCAGTGAAAAAGTCACCACGCATATTCCGAGGGTTCAACGAGCACATTATCCTTCGTCACTCATGGTTTGGCTTGGAGTCTCATATTCAGGTTTAACTGAGGAGTTTTTCTGCGAAAAAAGTATAAAAACACTGGCAGGTGTACCAAAATACCATCCTTATAAGCACAGTAAACAAAAAATAAACGTAAACCTCTTTCTCAAACAATGTTCAAAAATAGACATTAGATATTCCAACAGGACTCTGCATCAGCTCATAGGGCACGAAGCACGCAAAACTGGTTGATCGCCCATGGAATTGATTTAATCGGACATGAAGACTGGCCCTCTTCTAGTCCAGATTTAAGCCCACGTCCATTAAGGTCATGTGTTCAAAATAGAGGAGGGCATTTCGAATAATGTAAATAAAATTATATTCTAAATTAAATTACCTTTCATTTCATATATGATTTCTACATAATTATCAAAAAGTGTATCATTAAGTTTATAAAAAGTGTTTGACCTGACTAAGTAAAATCAGGTTAAAGCAACAGCTTGACACATATTTCATTTTTGAGAGGGTTTTAGACATAGACTTATTATACTGCTTTAGGGCAAGAAAATTTCCACCGCGCTGCCCGAATGCGCGATGGCTTTTTCACATGTCTTCCAGAAAAGAAAAGCTTGTTTTTTAGCATAGATGTTTTCGATTCGAACTCAGAACCCATGATTTAGTAGCTATATTCTTTGATCACTGGACTATGTGGTTGCCAGTATGTAGAATTATGTAAGATGATAAGTTTGTTCTGATTTTATTTAATAATTGTTGTTAAATATAAGTTTAGTTGCTACAGAAAAACCTTAATTTGAAACATAGGATTAACTGAGTCTATTCCCCACAGTTTTGGTATTACATGTCATAATAAACTTAAATTATAAAGAGATCACATAAATTAAAGTACTTTTATAATAATTACGAATGAAATATGACTTGTTAAAGTGTTAAAACTTTTAATGAATGGCTGTTCGTAGAAAAATTAAAATAAATTCTCCCCGAGTGTATTACGTGATAATGATACAACTTCATTATTAAGATTTAAGAAAGATTCGCTTTAAAGCACCCTTATGTGACAAAGCTTTGTGTCAAATGTAACATTATTAGTAGATTTCTATGGATTACTAGCGATCCACCATGGCTTCCCACAGGTGATTTCTGAATCTCAACAACAGCGTCACCTACTGGGTCCAGTTAATCTAAGTAAGCCAGGGTTCAGAGACCAGAGAACTTAAATATATCCAATTTTAAACATTAAATTTTGATGAAATTTTCTTCCTTTTTTGAGCTTTAGCGATTTATTGTTGTATATAGAAGATTAGGATAAGTTTATGCGAACGAACTTAAATCTACTATTTATCGTTTATTAAGTTAGAAAAACAGTCAATGTAATATCAGTCACCGCGTGACTACGTCTGAGGAGAATACATCATCCTATTTCATCCAGTGGATGTCGTTAAGGTGGAGTAATGGCAATACTAAGAAAACCTCATGATCGGATATAGCAGTCGTTTATTGACTGAATAAGCCAGGTAAGTCTGACGATCGCAGCAACTCCTGGCTATTGTTTAAGAAAATGGGACAGGTTATATTACGCAAATATTTTCTTTTTAATAAAGATATTACTATAGTGAAACAAGTCTAAAATTCAATCATCATTATCTTTCTCTGCTACCCCCTCTGAGTGTTTATGATATAACGCTGTTGTTCTGTGCGTTTGTGATTCTTTCCTGTTCGAGTCGAACCTTTCGTGATGAAATCACCCTAGCATAGCCTTCTCCACACCACGTATCAG